ATGCCTTCTGTCTTCCTGCCACTTTCTTCTACCTACTCAGCTGGTGAGCTCACTGCTTCAGACTGCTCTTCCTACCTCTCAGGCAGCATCTGGTGTACTGTAGCATTAACAGATCGGATACACAGATGTATAAAATACTACTAACTGTGGAGAAACTTTGATGGATGCCATATACCCAACACTTCCCTTCGCCTCTGCAAATCTCTAGAGAGATCATGCAGATTGTATACACTGGGATATCTATTTTTAGCTCGGACTGTTGTCCCAAAATCAGGGCTCTTCACCTGGTGTGCAGAGAGCCAGTTAATACCCAGAGTCGAGATACCCATTTATTCTATGTCTGTGCAGAGATGGGTGCAATGCGGTCACTCTGCAAAGCCAGCAAACCCTCAGTCTGCCAGCTATCCACCTTTATGCATTTCAAACAGTGGAAATCAGTGTTTTCCTTATACATAACAGTCTGTATCTACAATCATTGGCTCTTACGTTCTCTTGTCTCTTTTTAAGGACACATTACATGTGTTCTGTAAGTAAGGGTCTCTGTGGGCAAGGGTCTCTTATCTCGGGGGGGGGGGGGGGGGGGGGATTTTTGGTATTATAATGAACCAAGCTCCCTTAGGAACACAGTTACCTGCTGTTCTGCTGAGCTTTTCAAAGGCTTTCTGCCTTTCCTGATCTTTCTGAAGTTAGTTGTTGTTCTTCTAATCCAGATGGTTCGTTTATCTTCTACCTCTTCTCAAGGTCTCTAAGCTTGTAAGAAAACATTGCTTTTCCTTGCTCCATGCAATTCTAAAGTTGAGATTTTCAAGCTTTCACACACGTAGTCCTCTGCAGAATCATAGAATGGTTCATTGCCAAATTAACAAGGCTTCTTGTGGATAAATATAACATTATTCCTTATTTAATGACCAGGATATCCTGGGTATGGGATATTCTGAAGCAAGTGTTTAGATAACAGCTATTAAACAATGGACAAGCTAAACAATTGTAGTAAAGATTGATGTGAATTCTCTCTGGTCCTCTTTTTGAGGTCATGGTTATTATTGTACAACCTATTGCTTTTCTGGAGTACACAACTGCTATGAAAAACCTCATGAACTCTTTTTGTTCATTTTTATACACAAGCAAGAAGACCACTGCTTAAGTGAAAAACAAGGAGCATCAGCATTATGATTTGCCAGCAGTTTATAGATATTTTAATCCAAACAGATGAGCTGCTACTTCTTTGGGAGACACAGAAATTGGAAAGCAAATCTGATGGCCACCACAGTAGTAAATGTATTACATATGGTCCAGCTCCTGGGCATGCAGGAGAGGTGAGTCCCATCACTATGACTCATTCTCAAGTTCAATGTATTGTTGTTACTAGAAGTGACAAGAAGAGCAAAGTACTCCAGATAAGATAAAATGGTGTGTTTCTTTTACGCTGTGATGGGTTTCAAAATGCAAACTATAAGGTGTGATAATGTGGGTGAACGGTATCCATGGCAAAGTAAATATAGCCCCTGCAGCATAACTGCAGTAGGACTGGAAAGATGGGTAATGAGGAATGATGCTTGTTGCTACTTGGTAACTGAAAGCAGTTTTGTGTTTATGACTTCAGCTCTACAGCAGCCATCAAATGCCCTTAGCTTGTGCGAGCAGACACACGGTGTGGCTCATCAACTGCCTCTTTCCAAGGAAGGTCCAGAGCACTCTGTGAAGTCTCCCATCTCTGACACATTCAGCATTTTGCCCAGAGATCCAGTCTGTGCTCAGAGAGTTTGGAAGTAGCCGAAGTCCTAGAAGAATAGGCTGTTGGCCATCTTTCATTAGCCCCAAGCTCAAGAGCTCTCATCTTGCCACTGGCTGAGGAGGTGAGAAAGGGCTACCTCACAATTTAAACAGCAGTAGTAAAAATGTGGATTTACTCTGGTCCTGACTTTGAAGTCACAGTTATTAGTGTACAACCCTTCTGCAGCCTGAGTGAGCCTGCACAAGAACTGTCTGGAGCATGTACAAGCATGTGCTGAGCTGGAGTTTGCAGTGGCTGGTCACCCACTTGGTCCTTGGACTTTTCCCACTGGCTTGGGGTCACATCTGCATTTTCTCCAGCCTGTGGGCCCCATGGCTGGCTGGGAGGCTGCAGCCATTCCCCTTTATGTAGGTCCTACCGTGCTAATTGCCACGCTGCCAAGCTCTAGGTCACCCTGTGGGCAGCAGCTGCCTCCCAGGCACAGAGGGCCATGCTAGCTCCTGCAGATGTAGCTGTCTGTCTCCTGAGCGTGGATGTGCAGCTAATCGAATCAACCTTGCGTTAAAAGACAGCCCAGGCTGCCTTGAAAAGTCAGTATGCTTGTTGTAGGATCTGAAAGGATGTGGAACATGATGGGCTCAAGTGTACAAACAAGCACAGGCTAGTGAGAATCGAGCACATGGGGCAATGGGTTCATAGCATTCAGTGGTAGTTTTCAACAAAACATCTTTAGGATCGGTTTCATACAAGCACAGCTGTGCTTTTAAAATGTTTTGGGGATGCAGAACAAAGTGTTTGAAGTGATGGGTCACAGGCAGTGGGCAGCATGATGATGTTTTTGTCCACTTATCTGGCTTTGTGAAGAAATACAGGAAAATACAAATCAAGGAGTGAGGAAGAAAAATGCTTTTCACTTTCTGGTTGTTTTCAAAGATTTGGTTGTTGTGGAGTGACATTTCTGAGTAGCAAGGTTGTGGCTTCAGTTGTTCCACAGCTGTCAGAAAACTTTTAGTTATGGGGCATGGAATATTGTGCAGATGATGTAAAATTGCTGACAGTTTCTTACCTTTACATATACTTTTTTTTTTTTTAATTTAATAAATAAATAAGAAAATCCTGATTCTAACTCCAAGGTTCAGTGTTTGGAGTAGTTAGGACACCTTTTTGCAGCTCTCAAGTGTGCTTCTGACTCTCACCCTAGTTTGGTTGCCTGTGAATTAGTTCAGGCTCCTTGACCTTGGTTACCCAGGTTGACTGTGAGTACAGCATCTTGGCTATAAAACATAAGCTGCTTTCTATGAAGTAGGGTTTCTATGTACTTGAAATCATGTTTTGTTTCACATAAAGTCATACTACATAACCAAACCCTTGTACAGCCTTTCTCTTTGCACTTGGCGCTCTGCCCTGCTCCTTGTTACAGCGTTTTCAGCTTGCTGGGGTTAGTATCTTGTATTCAAGCACTGCTCTGTCACCTGCATGGGGCCACCCATGACACTATGCAGATGCAGCAAGTTGCAGCAATGCTGTAATAACTTGATCACCTGAAATTAAACCACAACAGAATGCTTACACAGATGCTCCTTAAACTGCACCAAACAGCTTCGAAACTCAGTAACCATGTACTAAGTAGAAGCTGAGGACGATTATCCTGTTCTCATCACCATCTGAGACAGAGCTAATATACTTCCAGTAAAATAGATGTTTAACAATGATCTTGAGTACCTGTGCAGAAAGCAGGTGGCATGAATTCTATAAAGAAAATGTGCAATCCACTATGCAGCCCTCCCGTATGAAGTTAGGCTGAGGAAGTTGGGGCTGTTCAGCCTGGAGAAGAGAAGGCTGTGTGGAGACCTCATAGCAGCCTTCCAGTATCTGAAGGGGGCCTATAGGGGTGCTGGAGAGGGACTCTTCATTAGGGACTGTAGTGATAGGACAAGGGGTAACGGGTTAAAACTTAAACAGGGGAAGTTTAGATTGGATATAAGGAGGAAGTTCTTTCCTGTTAGGGTGGTGAGGCACTGGAATGGGTTGCCCAGGGAGGTTGTGAATGCTCCATCCCTGGCAGTGTTCAAGACCAGGTTGGACAAGGCCTTGGGTGATATGGTTTAGTGTAAGGTGCCCCTGCCCACGGCAGCGGGGTTGGAACTAGATGATCTTAAGGTCCTTTCCAACCCTAACTATTCTATGATTCTATGGTCAATAAATACAGTAATAGACAAATGCTATATAAAGAAGTCTTGGCTCTGTGTGGTGCTATGTGGCACAATTTTCCTTTTCTCTAAATTTAAAATGCTGCCTTTTCATCAGCAATTGAGCTCTCCAAAGACTTGCAGCAGTAGGAGCTTGATGTGCTAATTTCTTAGGTTTAATCATGATCACCATCATAGGGGAGTCTTCAAGCTAAAGCCAGCTGGGACCAAAGCCACATCCTGAAATACAGCTTAGCTACAGTGAGCATGTACCAGCTATGAGAGAGACATCACATGAGATATAAGGAAATGCAGGTTCCAGTGATCTTCAGATCTGCAATGCCCTGAAAAAGTAGTTTGGGTGAAGAAGTCTTAGTGACAGGCAAGCCCCAGTGATTTCTATGTGGTTTAAGGTGGCTTCTCAACTCTCCAGCAGTGCTTTGGAGGCTTTACATGTGTGGTGATGTTTTTGTGCCTGTTTTCTGACTTGAATGTTTGGCTCTGCTATTTGTAGGCTTGGGACAATGCCTGAGGTAGTGCTGTGTGACCGTTTCTGATAGATGTTCTCTTTTTCCCTCTTCGTGCTAAGGGGGATGCTGTGGGCAGAAGTGTTACAATTGCAGTTAACAGTGGGCTTGATGCCACACTCTGCTTCATACAACAGATGAGGCCACAGAAGTCCCTGTGCAACAAATGAGTAACTTCTCCCAGGGTTATTTCTTCCCTTTCAGTTTGTCAGCGACTGTGGAACTTGGGCACAAGGGAAGGAACCACGCTTTTGAACGACGTGACTGCAAGCAGCTGTTAGCACAGCGACAAACCATACACGCCCCGGTGAGTTAATGGCGATGGCTTTGCTGTGCCTTTGGCACCGAGACCCTCAGGCAGCGCTGTGGGCGGGAGAAGCTCCCCCGCGACAGGACGCAGACCCCTAAGTGAAAACCATTCGGGGAAAAACGTGCAACACGGAGATTGCCACACAGCACCACTGCCCGACGACACAGCCGTCCCCGTACCTGGGATACAGAAGCACCCAGTCCTGGGGATACAAAACCCCGCAGTGTCCTGTTGTGGTGATGGGGGCATGGAAACGCGTGCTCGCACCCCGCAGTGGGGGCGGCACAGCCACGCCGTGCGGGACCCGCTGCAGCTCTGCCCCGAGGCTCCGGCGGTTCGGCTGCGCTCCCTCAGCGCGGTGGCGCCGGCGCGAAGGAGCGGGAGGCGCCGCTCCCCGCCCCGCGGGCGGCCCCGGCCCGGCCGGCCCCCGGTCGGACAACGCCCCCGGCCCTCACGCCGCGGCCGGGCCCGCCGCCCGTGGCATTTCCTCTGAGCTCACTCGGCGGCTGACGCGGCGCCGCTTCCCTCGGAAGAGGAAGGCTCGCAGCGGAGCAGGCAGGCAAGGGGGGCGACCGCCGTGCCGGCGGGGTAGCAGGGGGAAAGCAGCGGCGCGGCCCGCGCTGGGGGCGGCCGGGGCGGAGGAGGGGGGCGGCGGCGGCGGGGCCGGGCGCTCCCCGCCCGCGGGGCTGGGCGGCGGCCCCCGCCGTGGCCCGAGCCCCCGCCGCGCCGGGCCCGTCTACACCGTCAACCTGCGGGTGCTCTGGCCGCTGGCGACCGCTCTCTGCACCGCGCTCCTCTGCCTCTACCAGGCCCTGCGGGGCGGCTCGGCCGGGGAGGGCGCGGCGGAGGCGGGCTCCGTCCCGCTGCTCAAGGGCTCGGCACTGCTGCTGCTGGGCTGCCTGCTGGCTCGCTGCTGCGGCGGGGCGGGTGGCGGCCCGAGGCCCGGCGGGTTCCGCTTGGCGGGGTCGGCGGGGGCGCAGCGCGACGCCCTAGAGCGGTTCTACGTGCGACAGCTGCGGGTGTCGCCCCACGTGCTGGGGCACAGCAAGGCGCACGTCGGGCGCGTCGTGGCCGAGCTGGTGCGCGCCGCCAAGGCGCAGGGGCTGCAGCCCGGCCCGCTCGCCCTCAGCCTGCGCGGGGACTTCGTGCGCATCGGCAGCGCCTACGAGCAGCACAAGGTGCGCAGCCCCGACTGCTTCGACATCCTGGTGCCCCTGCGGCTGCCGCCCCACCTGGAGCCGCAGCCGCGCTGCGCCGAGGGGCTGGGGCCGCACGGCGCCTTCGTCTGCGGCCTGCGGGCGAGGGGCGGCTGGCCGCGCCGCTACCGGCCCTTCGCCGAGGGCTTCTGCGTGGAGCTGCAGGGCCGCTGCCACCTCTCCTCGGCGCTGGTGCTGCGCTGGTTCCAGGGCCACCTGCAGCGCTGCCTGGGCGCCGTGCGGTACCGGCTGCAGGAGCGCTGCCGCATCAACCTCTCGGCCTGCCCAGGCCGCCCGCCCGTGCTGCACATCGTGCCCTGCTCCGACTACGTCTGCTGCCACATCTCCATGGCCGTGCGCCTCATCCCCGCCATCCCCATCGGCGACGCGCTCTACCTCACGGCCCTGCCGCCCGAGGGCCCGCTGCCTACCCCGGCCCCCGAGGCCGTGTGGGGCCTCAACGCCTCGCGGCAGGAGCAGCGGCTGCTGAGCTGGCTGAAAGAGCAGGCCCCGGCCTCCTCCTGCCACCTCAAGTGTCTGCAGATCCTCAAGGGCCTGCGGGACCTCCGCGGGCAGGGCCTGGAGGAGCCCTTCAGCTCTCAGTGGAGCCGGGTGCTCTCCTCCTACGTGCTGAAGACGGCCCTGTTCTCCCTGCTAATGCAGGGGCCCCTGGAGGCCTGGGACGAGCGGTTCCTGGTGGAGCGGCTGGAGGACCTGGTGCTGTACCTCAGGGACTGCCTGCGCAAGCAGGTGCTGATGCATTTCTTCCTGGGCAACACCAGCCTCCCCGAGGCCGTGGCGGTGCCCCGGTTCCTCAAGGAAGCTGCCCCTGTGAACTTGCTGGCTGCCTTTGATGGGCTCATGCTGGACCTGTCAGCTTTCCAGCTGATCAACACCTGGATCCAGGCCCCGCACATCATCAGGATGTACAGCAGCCCCCGGTACTTGCGACCAGTGCCCACCCCGTGCCGTCATGTCACCGAGGCCAAGCAGGAGCCACCAGCAGAGTGAGCCGGTGGTGTCCCTGGACTCTGCCAGGCAGCGCACGCTCGCAGTCTGCTAGTCCATTGAGAGCCCATGTCTGCCTGAGGAAGGTGGGACCTGTTTGTGTGGTTCTGTGGTTTTGTCCCTGCCGTGAGAAGACTGGGAAACCAGAGGCCAAGACTTAAGGAATTTGTGATTCTTGTTTTTTAATCTCATTGCTTGTTCATGGGGAAATTGTGAAGTTTCTGGGGAAATGCGTTAGTAGAGAAGCATTACGTTCAGTCAGCTGACTGCGAACCTAGCTATAACAGGCTTAAACTGGCATTTCTGGAAATCCATTTTCACTTGTTGTCTTAGTGGCAAATTTGACCTTTTTATGATATTTGCTTTTTATGATGCAAAATCCATTTGGGATTTAAAACTTGTAAGTGCAAACAGCCCCCCTAATGTACCAAGATGCTCTTAAAATGCAGTGAGCAATGGAGCATGGTTGTGGATCGCAGTTTGAAATGCTCAATGACATGCTTTAAATTGTGTAATCTAAAAATGCGTAATTAAGTACGTTGTTCTGAATAGAAATACAGTGCATATGTTAATGTTAATGTAAAATTGGGGTTCTTCCTCCAAACTGTCTCTGGTAACAGTATGAAGAATCTAGTTGCACGTTTCTGTGTGAAGGTTATACTGAAGGATTGAAATATAGATAAAAGGAAACAAATAGCACTTTATTTTCACAAAGGCCTTCTCTTTAGGATAATTGGCTGCACTAAATATTGCATTAGGAGGCATTAGTATTTGTTAAGGGAATGATGTTTGACATCCCCAGGAAAACCTTCTTTTAAGGAAATGCCAAAGAGGTTGGTTTGTTTGTGGGTTCTTGTTGAGTTGTATTATTTTTTCTGTCTTCAAGTATTATTAGCATTTGCTTTACCTCAAGGACCAAAAACAAAACTAAGAAATTGTATATTATGTTTTGAAACAAACCTTAAACGAGCTCAAATCTCAGTGCTGTAAGCTGACTGCTGCACCTTCCTGCTCTCTGATAGGAGCTTGGGGGGATTTTTGGATGACTGCCTAGGCAGTTGTCTGATTGTGGCAGTGTTTTGACCAAATAACCCGATGGGAATTTCTAGTGCTGTGCTATAGCAAATCATTACCTTGTTGTGGGGAGGAGAAAGTGAAGTGTTTCAGGGTACTTCAGATTATTTAGCACTGATTCATGGTACAGTGGCAGTCTAAGGCTGTGGATTCCAGTGTCCCCTAAATATTCACATCAGCCATATAATTTCCACTTCTTGCCCAGTTATGTCCCAGTCTCTGGAATAACCTGCCGAGTTGTAACACAGCCAGTTCTGCAAGTGTCCTTAGCTCCTGGCGTAGGTACCTGGTGCAGGTGACCCTGATGTGTCTCAGGGTGTCAGCAAATTCAGCATTTCAATCCTTGCATTATTGGGCTGCCTGCTCAAGTATTTGATGTATTAAGACACAAAATGTGTTGCTGAATTGCTGGTGCTCAGGAGGCTGAGGCCTCATTACCCACTATACTGTGTCCTAGGGGAACAGTTGGAAACAAGTTATAAATGACCAAGTGTGCCTTCTGGAAAGCTTTAGGGTAACTTGAAGTTACTAATACACTCCTCTCCGTGCTGTACATAACGATACCAATGTGCTTTATCCAGAGTTCTGTGCATCAGAGCACAAAGCAAACATTTTCAAAATCTATGAAGCTTTATAAAAATCTATTTTTCTAAATGGAAACACTCCCTAGGCAGATGTTTGCCTACTTCTGTCTGTTTTTTTTAACTGCTCTTGCAGTCTTATTTTCAGGTAATTATAGCCTAGGTCACACTCGTAAACTGGGTTATTTTTATATAGGAAGCACTGTGCTTCTTTCTACAAATAGTGTATTTATAGGTAGTATTGATCAGTGTTCTTTACACATGGTATTTAAGTTAGCTACCTTGGTGTTTCGGGGTTGAGTTTTTTTGGTAGTAGACCATGATACATACTATTTTTGCAGACTCGTGTTAACTTGGTGTTTGAAATAAGATGCAGCCAGGTTATTGTGGCTGCCTGAACTCGTGACATAAAACCCCTTTATAACTGTTAACTTTGGCATCTTAACCACTTTAGTCAGCTGTCAGTTTGTTTACATCACTGCATCCCTGTCTCTGAAAAGTGATCTTTGCTCTGAAAAGGGATGCATATTTGGTGTGTATTTAGTATTGCTGCAGTACACAGAAATCTGTAATAGACTTGGTAAAATGTAGTAATGCCAGGAAGAGGCAGTCACATCAGGAAATGCATGACAAGGAAAGATGGTGGAGGATATAAATAGTTTAGAAAATGAAAGTTGGGCTCGGGGGGGTGAGTGAGAGTGATGGTAAACTCTCAGTGAAGACATACGAGGAACAAGCCAAAGGACATGGGAATGAAATCGAAGGAGAGCTATTGAAAGCAAGGTGTACTTGGAGTGTAGGGAAATGAGGGTTAAGTAGGTTTTGCCTTGACAGTATTTCCAAAGTGGTTGAATCTATCCGGGCTGAACAGTGAGGCAAACAAACCCTCAGCTTATTAGCCATGTAGGCAGATCTTCAGTTTAAGTTTTTGCTCAGCAAAGCATTTTTGAGTTTGTGATGGCTGTTGATGGGAGAAAATGTATGCTCTCTTGAGGAGAGGGGTCTTCCTGCCAGTCAGGCAGTGTGCATGCAGTTGGTGGGAGGTCTGAGGAAGTCTCTCAGACTAACTTGTGGCTCTGTTGTACAGCTGAGTGTATTTTCTGTATCTGCTATAAAGCATGCATTCATGAATACGATTGACAAAAGGAGCTGATAAAAGTTGGGTTCTGTTATGGTATTCATCTTACTCCACAACAAATGTAATACTACCAACAGCATGCTGGAGCTATTACAGGGCCTTATCTGCAAGGAGGTGTACAGAGAACTTGACCTGTATGAGTAATTTGGTGAGCCTTTTGCCCTCTCCCTTTTCTCTCAACCCATGGATACTGTACACAGAACAAGGTTATGAATGCCTATTTGTTAAGGTCCTAACTATTACAATGTATCATAGATTCAGCATGGTTGCCTCTGTGTGTGTAAACTGAAACACGAACACAGAAGAAAGTGCATGTTATTTAGCACTAATGTGGGTTCTTGGTTCTCTTCATCTAATTGCAGCCTAATTTTCCAAAGACTGCAAATGAAGTTGTTTTCATTGAACATTGATTGGCAAGAGGAGTCACACCTGCAAAAGAATAAGTTTATTTACGGAACCAAAATGCATATATGTGACTTTATCTTGTATTGAAAACCGTTGTGTATTTCTGAAAGACATCATTATTTTTTACCTGACTAGGTATCTCGGAAACATTCCTCTTTTGATTTTGAGTCTCTGCAGAGTAATGTAAATTTTAAGTGTCTGTTTGCAATGTACATTCTTGGTACAACTGTGTTTTGCTGGTTAATAATCAGACCAAAGATTAAACCAAAATGTTCAGCTGCTATTGTTTTTTTAAAGAAAAAAAAAAAAAAGAAGAAAAAAGTGTTTCTAGGCTCAAAGTGTCAGCCCATTTTAATGAGGCATTTATAAATTCATTTCCTATTTAATATCAAAATACTTTTGCACTTTTATTGTTTCCATAAAACGTGGGTGATCTTGTTTTGATATCTCACTGTAGTAATAAATGGCTGTTCTAAAGCGCCTGTGCCTCAAGATTTAAATTCCTTGTTATCTTTTCCTCAGTAAAAGCTACCTGCAGCCACAAAACTGTGATCAGCAGGATTATGTGCTCTTTAGGAGGAGGATCCTGGAGTGGCAAATCCATGGGAAAGCAGGAAGTCCACGCCTTGGGAGTTGTGCAGAGGGATGTGGGAGAAGAGCCAGGAGAGAGACTAGAGCAGGGCTGGCACCATCAGTGCTGTTGCCAGCTGTTGAAATGGAGCACGCTGTTGTTTGTGGCTGTCTTGCTCAGAGGTTAAGAAGGATTCATTCTGCGTTTCTGTGGCTCCAGTTTAAGGGTGCTGCATAAAATCTGCTTTTTCTGGTGCTTACTGAAGAGCTAGGACTTCATTTCACGGCATGTATGTGAGCTTTTCAGCGTGACATGTACAGACACATCTCCTTTCCAAACGATGTAGGTCGCGCTTTACTAACTATGGAAAATGTCCTGCTGAAGCCAGCAGGAATTCTGTGGATGGGCCAGCAAGTTACCTGTACTTTATTAGTCTTTGGTAAGATGCCAGAGCTCCACATTCGTGGCTTGTGCTGATGTTCCCTATTGAAGAATGAAATTACAGCACAACCCCTTGCTTTTCAATCATTAAATCAAAGCCAGGCTGAAAACTACTACCTCCAGATCTTTGTGTGCCTGGCTCTTACCATGCAGGGAAGAACTCCTGCAAGAGGGGCAGCAGCCGATGGTGCAGCGCTGAGGCAGCCCCACTGGCTAACAAGAGTTCTTGCTGGCAAAGGCTGGAAGATTGTCATTCCTTTAGTGTCAACATTCAGCCACCCAAGTCAGTACAGAGGAAGTGTATTTAGATCTTTACCTCTTTAATAAGATAATCTGTTGTAATGGCTTCCTTTAAGAGCAATGATCATCCTTTGGTCTCCATTCATTCCTTGCTCTGAAATAATTTCTCTGTTTGAAGCCTAAGTTTCTATTCAGCCAAAAAATCATTAAAAAAACACAGGACTTTCGTGGTAAATCTGTTAACAAAAAATTAACTGGCCTAAGGACTTGCATGCTTGGTGTTTAAAGAAAAGCCTGTTTGCATCCAACTCATTGGATAAATTGTTTAAAATCTTTCCATCCCTGTGCAAATAACTCCCTTGTAATGCAGCCAAGGTCGGCAGTGAATTGCTGATGAAGTTCTGCAAATGCAGGTTAAAGCTGCCTGCAGGGGAAGGGACTCTATTTGTGCATATTTTCATAAGGCTCCAAAGGAGTTCAGACATGAGAAATTTGTTTTCCTAGGCTGGCTTATTTCCTGTGTCACCTCTTCAGATGTTTGCCTGGTGAGTCTTCCCTGAGGTAAGTGACATTCCAACTGGTGATAAGTAGTTTGAGGAGCTGGCAGAAAAGCCAGCCCCATTTTTGTTGGACCGATAGCACTGGGAAGCTGGCAGTCAATGTAGGGGAAGGACCTGCACCCCTTTAAGTGCATAGATTCACCTTCAGTGCTTCCTGATGCTTCAGAGCACAGCACTCGGCTTACTCAAGGGGTCTGAGCAACACAACTCTACAATAAGCAGGACATGGAGGGCTGACCATAGACAGATCTGCCTGTACATTGTGGGTTTCTCAAACATATTGTATCCCTAATTAAGAGACTACCTGTGCTCTGGTGTGTGTGCCTGCAACGTCCTGTTTTAAATACGTAACCAAGAATTGCCATATGTGCAACTGCTTTATAAGAGATTCAAAGCACTGTAGTACTTGATCAGCAACACAGCTATAGATAACGTATGTTGTGTGTCTGTGCCACAGTCTGGTAGGACTCAAATACCGAGGCAAAAACTTACAGGCAAAACTCTTAAAGGTTACAAATGTGTACGCATCAAGTGTCATCATGTACCAGTCTTCTGTGTTAAGGAAGCCTTATTTTTTTCCTCTGAAAGAATAACAATGCTGATGCAGAGACTCAGAAAATTTCTGTATACTCAAGTTATAGTATGCATTTCTTGAGACCCCTACCCCTGGGAATTTCCCCCTTTCCCTAAAACTAGGACCAAAGCTGCATGGAGAATACTCAGTTCTCTGGGCTAGACAGCATATAATAAGGGTTTGCTAGTGTTTTCATGATACTTGTGATCCTCTATTGGCTTCTATGCCTGCCAAGAGTCCATACAATAATCTGGGTGGGAGGGGAGAGAAGTGGGGAGGTAAGGAATCAAGAAGACAGGAGTGATGGGGATTATGCTGTGAGGGTTACTAGCTATCAAATTAAAGAAGAAAAATTACTGTTATGATGGACTCCCAGTGGAGAAAATGGAAGAGGTTCTTTGAAGTCTCACTACAGAGAGAAACCTGCTAGCTGTAGAAACAGAGGAAGAATGGTAGCAGAATCTAACAAGATAGCCCACTTCTCCACTGCTGTTTCAGTCTGTGCCTTTCCAGTTTCAAGTAGGGGAGAAGAGAAACTTAGAGTTGAGTTCGCTGGCAAATCAGTGTGCTTACTAGCCATGCTTTCAGGTGGGGGGCAAGGGGGAGGGCAGCTCTTCCAGTGCTTTATTCTGTGCAAAATTAAAATGTTGAAATACTCCCACTGAGGGAGGGAGTGTTGGGGAATGGTTCACCAGTCTGCCTCCTGTGCTATCCCAAATGACAACCTGGGATCACTGGTTTTAAGGACAAGTCATAGTTGAAATTCAGGTGTTCAAGGCCAGGTTGGACAGAGCCTTGGATGACATGCTTTAGTGTGAGGTGTCCCTGCCCATGACAGGGGGGTTGGAACTGGATGATCTTAAGATCCTTTCCAGCCCTAACTATTCTGTGATTCTATGCTGGAAACTGCAGCTTCCCAGTTCCGGCTGGGAGCTGCTCTGCTGCCTGTGCAAGTGAAGCATTGGAGCAGCAGCTACAGAGGAAATGAGTCATTCCTCTATTTCTGTTGCAGGAGACTTCTCTGTGCTGTGCAGTGCATTTAGGAATATGTTCTTGTTGCTGCTTGGAAGTTCTAGGACCATGTTTAGGCATACAAACATCAGTGAATTAACAGGCGTGTTACAGACCTTTACTTCGTTTTAAACGTGTAGTGCAGGCTTGGCTTCTGCAGGGAGGTGTTGTTCAGGGTCTTCCTCAAGCTGGTGTTTGGTGCAGTTCTCAGCTCCAGGTCTGTCTGCTGGTGGAGGGGCTGCTGCCAAAGAGGTGGCTGTATGGGGGTATTAGTGCGTCTTCTGAGCATCTCATTTTGTCACACACCCTTGGAGGCTTGTTTCAGTGTGTTTCAAAAGGGAGAAACTTGCTAGTCATAAGGATTGTGAATCACGGGCACGTCTCCAAAACTGTACTTCTGTACAGAGTCTCTAAGAGTTTTCCTGGAGCTG